CCCTGGAGGTGGCAAAGAAACCCTTGAAAGTGTCCAAGAAACCCCTGGAAGTGTCCAAGGAACACCTGGAGGCGCCCAGGTCACCCCTGGAGGAGTCCAGGGATGACCTGGAGGTTCTAAAGAAACCCTTGAAGGTGTCCAAGGAACCCCTAGAAGTGCCCAAGGAACCCCTGGAGATATCCAGGTATGGCCTGGAGGTGTCCAAGGAACCCCTGGAGCTGCCCAAGGAACCCTTGAAGGTGATCAAGGACCCCCTGGAGGTGCCAATGGAACCCCTGGAGGTGCCCAAGGAACCCTTGAAGGTGTCCAAGGAACCCCTGGAGGTGCCCAAGGAACCCCTGGAGCTGCCCAAGGAACCCCTGGAGGTGCCCAAGGAACCCTTGAAGGTGTCCAAGGAACCCCTGGAAGTGCCCAAGGAACCCCTGGAGCTGCCCAAGGAACCCTTGAAGGTGCCCAAGGAACCCCTAGAAGTGCCCAAGGAACCCCTGGAGATATCCAGGTATGGCCTGGAGGTGTCCAAGGAACCCCTGGAAGTGCCCAAGGAACCCTTGAAGGTGATCAAGGACCCCCTGGAGGTGCCCAAGGAACCCCTGGAGCTGCCCAAGAATCCCTGGAGGTGTCCAAGGAACCCCTGGAGGTTCCACTCAGATCTCTGGGCTGGGGACACGATGGCGACCAAAGGTTGGACTCTGCTCCTGGAGGACATTCCCACCCTCTGGAATTCCTCTCCCGGGGGCTGTGGAGAACCACAACCAACCACAGCAAACCACGGGAGCAGCGGTGCCAAACATTCCTGGCGCTCGGCGCTTCCCGCGGGAATCGCCGTCCCTTCGCCTCGGAGCTGGGAAGGGCCGGAAACGCTGACGGGAATTTTATTCCTCTCCCACGGAGAAGCTGGGGAAGGAGCAGGTTTTTGGATTTCTGCCATTCCCACCCTGGAGCTGAGGTTTGGCTGCAGAAAAAAAAAAATTCCTGGAAAAGCTTTTCCTGGGCTTTGTGCAAGGAAAATTCCCTTCCAGGAGCTGAGGATCTGCCTTGGGAATGGGAGTGGGATGGAGCTTCTCCGCTCCATGTGGAGTTTGCCATGGGCTGAGTCACAAGGAAGGAAAATAATCATGGAAATAAACATGGAAATAAAATAAACATGGAAATAAAATAAACATGGAAATAAAATAAACATGGAAATAAAATAATCATGGAAATAAACATGGAAACAACACTCCTGGAGGGGCAGTTTTACTTCCAGGAAGAAGGAGAGGAAAAAAGTTTCCTCCTTGCCTCATGCACCACGGCAGAACTGCAGAATCCTGGTTTTCCCTGGAATTCCGGCTTCATCCCGAGCTCTTCCTCCTTCCCCATCCTCCCATCCCCATCACGGAGTAGCCCCTCAAACCCACCCCAATTCCATCCTTTCCTGAGGAGATTCCGGTTGTGCTTTTGCTGTTCGTCGGGATCTGAGGCCATTCCTGGGATCCTGTCTCAGTCATTCCCAGGATCCCGTCTCAGTCATTCCCGGGATCCTGTCTCGGCTGTTCCTGGGATCCCGTCTCAGTCATTCCCAGGATCCCGTCTCAGCCATTCCTGGGATCCTGTCTCAGCCATCCCTGGGATCCCGTCTCAGTCATTCCCGGGATCCCGTGTCGGCCATTCCCGGGATCCTGTCTCAGCCATTCCTGGGATTCTGCCTCAGCCATTTTCAGGATCCCGTGTCAGCCATTCCCGGGATCCCGTCTCAGCCATTCCCAGGATCCTGTCTCAGTCATTCCCAGGATCCTGTCTCAGCCATTCCCAGGATCCTGTCTCAGTCATTCCCAGGATCCCGTCTCAGCCATTCCCAGGATCCCATCTCAGCCATTCCCAGGATCCCGTCTCAGCCACTCCTGGGATCCCGTCTCAGCCATTCCCGGGATCCCGTGTCGGCCATTCCCGGGATCCTGTCTCGGCTGTTCCTGGGATCCCGTCTCAGTCATTCCCAGGATCCCGTCTCAGCCATTCCCAGGATCCTGTCTCAGTCATTCCCAGGATCCTGTCTCAGTCATTCCCAGGATCCCGTCTCAGCCATTCCTGGGATCCCGTCTCAGCCATTCCCAGGATCCTGTCTCAGTCATTCCCAGAATCCCGTCTCAGCCATTCCCGGGATCCTGTCTCAGCCATTCCCGGGATTCTGTCTCAGCCATTCCCGGGATCCTGTCTCGGCCATTCCCGGGATTCTGTCTCAGCCATTCCCGGGATCCTGTCTCGGCCATTCCCGGGATCCTGTCTCAGTCATTCCTGGGATGCTGTCTTGGCCATTCCCGGGATCCTGTCTTGGCTGTTCCTGGGATCCTGTCTCAGTCATTCCCGGGATCCCGTCTCAGCCATTCCCGGGATCCTGTCTCAGCCATTCCCGGGATCCTGTCTCAGTCATTCCCGGGATCCCGTCTCAGCCATTCCCAGGATCCCGTCTCGGCCATTCCCGGGATCCTGTCTCAGCCATTCCTGGGATCCTGTCTCAGCCATTCCTGGGATCCTGTCTCAGCCATTCCTGGGATCCTGTCTCAGCCATTCCTGGGATCCTTTCTCAGCCATTCCTGGGATCCCGTCTCAGTCATTCCCGGGATTGTGTCTCAGCCATTCCCAGGATTGTGTCTCAGCCATTCCCGGGATCCTGTCTCAGTCATTCCCGGGATTGTGTCTCAGCCATTCCCGGGATCCTGTCTCGGCTATTCCCGGGATTCTGTCTCCTCTTGGGAGCACTTGGATAACACAGCTGGAGAGCCTGAATTGCCTTGGAATTTCCCAGCCTGTGTGGGGATGTTGGGAACGGGGCGCTTTTATTCCATTTAAAAATTCCCACATTCCCAGCGGCCGCGGAGTCGCTCTGGGCCGGATCCGGCGCTGGAATCCCATTGTTTTCCCACTTTTCCTCCTCTGCAGATCCCGGCTGGCCGATTTCCACACCAACTGCCAGGCCACCTTCCAGTCCCCGACCAGCTGTCCCGGGGACAACTTCCAGGCGTGCCTGGGCTCCTACGCCGGGCTCATCGGTGAGTGCCGGGAGTCGGGATCGGGAATGGCTTTTCCCGCTGGGATTTCACCCCCGTTCCCTCCTCCTCGCCAGGCTTTGACATCACCCCCAACTACGTGGACGCCAGCACCACCAGCATCACCATCTCGCCCTGGTGCTCCTGCAAAGGCAGCGGGAATATGGAGGAGGAGTGCGAGAAATTCCTGCGGGATTTCACGGAAAATCCCTGTCTCCGTAAGGCGCTTCCCCGCCCCACCCCTTTCACCTTGCTTCATCATTCCCATCCTTCCTAAATCTCTCCCGCCGCCAGGAAACGCCATCCAAGCTTTTGGGAACGGCACCGACGTGAACCTGGTTCCCAAAAATCCCAATCCCGCCGCGACGGCGTTGCCGAAGGTGGAGAAGAGCGCGGCGCTGCCGGACGATGCCGACGACGGCAACGCCGCCTACGGCACGAGCCTCAGCAGCACCTGCACCTCCCTCCAGGTGCGGCCCCAAACTGGGAGCACTGGTGGGGCCGTGGGACTTTTCCCGTGGGATGGGAAAACGTCCCGCTCGGATTCATCCGCGGGCTGGAAGGAGCCGGGTGCGGTTTGGGGTCTGGAGTGCGGAGGGAAATGGGATTCCCCGCCCGTCTTCCCCTTCACCGACTCACTGCGCCTGGTTTCTCCTCGTCTGGGAGCTGGGATTCCATGGTTTTTGGGAAATCTGGAAAATCCGTGTGGTCCCGCCGAGCGCGGGGCTTGGGCGTCCGTGTTTTGTTCCATGGGTGGAAAAGGAATTCAGGGAAATGGGATTTGGGGAATGGCCGGGGATGTTCCAGGAATTCAGGTAAATTTGGGAAATTCAGAGATTTGGGGAATGGCCAGGGATGTTCCAGGAATGGGAGGGAAATGGGATTGGGGAATGCCCAGGAATTTCTCAGGAATTCAGGGAAATGGGATTTGGGAATGGCTGGGGATGTTCCAGGAATTCAGGGAGATGGGATTTGGGAATGGCTGGGGATGTCCCAGGAATGGGAGGGAAATGGGATTGGGGAATGCCCAGGAATGTCCCAGGAATTCAGGGAGATGGGATTGGGAAATGGCTGGGGATGTTCCAGGAATTCAGGGAAATGGGATTTGGGAATGGCTGGGGATGTTCCAGGAATTCAGGGAGATGGGATTGGGAAATGGCTGGGGATGTTCCAGGAATTCAGGGAGATGGGATTGGGAAATGGCTGGGGGTGTTCCAGGAATTCAGGGAAATGGGATTTGGGAATGGCTGGGGATGTTCCAGGAATTCAGGGAGATGGGATTTGGGAATGGCTGGGGATGTCCCAGGAATTCAGGGAGATGGGATTTGGGAATGGCTGGGGATGTTCCAGGAATGGGAGGGAAATGGGATTGGGGAATGGCCAAGGATGTTCCAGGAATTCAGGGAGATGGGATTGGGAAATGGCTGGGGGTGTTCCAGGAATTCAGGGAAATGGGATTTGGGAATTGCTGGGGATGTCCCAGGAATTCAGGGAAATGGGATTGGGGGTGTTCCAGGAATTTGGGTTGGGGAATGGCTGGGGGTGTCCCAGGAATTCAGGGAAATGGGATTAAGGAATGTCCGGGGATGTCCCAGGAATGCAGAGGAGTGGGGTGGGGACTGGTGGGGTGTCCCGGGATTCCCGGCAGGATTCCAGGCAGGATCACAGTGCAGTGAGGCGGAATCCATGGAAACCCCTGGGCTCCCGTTGGATGAGCCGTTCCCAAATCTCCCTGTGCTCCATCACCCGCTCTGAGCTGATTCCCACAGGGAAATTCGGGACCCCAAACCACCTCCAGGGTCACATTCCTCCCCTAACCATTCCCAATTCCTCCTGCCAGGATCAAGGCCTGAATCCCAACAAATCCAAGGAGCAGAGCTTGTGCTACTCCCAGGTACTTGGAGGATCCCGGGGCTGGGAATTCTTTCCCAAAGCAAACAGCTTGGAGGTCTTTCCCAACTTTTGGGATGCTCTTCCCTAAAACCCCGCTCCTCCCCAGGCCCAGCTGACCACGGATGCGATGCCGGAGCAGAAGACGTTCACGGATCCCAAGGCGGGAAGTAGCCGGCAGCGGGAGATCCGGATCCTGCTCCTCGTTCCCATCCTGATCCCGGCGCTGGGGCCATAGAGGGGCGGGAAGGAGCGGCCGGTGGGACGGGGACGCTCGGACCGGTGCCACCGGTGCCACCAGTGCCACCAGTGCCACCAGCGCCACCAGTGCCACCAGTGCCACCAGCGCCCACCGCTGCCGCGCTTGTGCCGCAGACTGGAACGCTCCCAAATCCCGGGAATGCCGAGCTCCGGAGAGGCAGGAGGAGCCTTCACCACGCTGGGAAACCTCGGTGGTTTTCTTCCTACTTTTCATTTTTCCCGGTTTTTTTGGGGTGGTTTTTATTTTTTTTTGGTCTTTTCCGGGTTGGTTTTTCCGGAGCGGCTCCTGGGAAAACTCCCTGGGATGGGCCTGGAATGGGGGTCTGGAGCTGCCAGCGGTGCCGGGGAGGGGAAAACCATCGGAGAAAAGCTTTGGAAAGGTGAATTGCAGGAATTTTGCTCCGGGGTGGCCACAGGGACAGCGAGGATTCCGCACGGGAACATCCCGGAGGACGAAGGCGCCATCGGGAGCCGCCTGGACGGGACTCCCGCAGCTCTTCCCGTTGGTTTTTGGGGAATTTTGGTTGGGATTTTTCCTCGGAGAGTTTCCGAATGGAAAAGAAAAGAAACTGGTGTGAAACGTGTGAGGCTGTGCTGATGTTTTCAATCATTCCAGGGGAAGAGGTTCCATTTTCCTTTTTTTTTTTCCTTTTTGGAATTTGGGTTGGGAGTGGATTTTGACCCATCCAGGGTCGGAATTCCCTATTTTCCCTCTCCGCTTTATTTCCTATATACATATAACATACGGATATTCCCATATACACAACTGACCCATCCTGTGGCTTTTTAATTCCCATTTTCCCCTTTTTTTTCCCACTTTATTTTTTTTTTAGTTTTTTTTTTTTAATTCCTCTGATTCCCACAACAACTTCCAAATGTATTCTTGGAAAATTTATTTTTTTTAACGATGTCTATAATGGAAAAAAAAAAACAACAAAATAAACCAAGGAGAACAAACCAAGGAATGAAACTGCCCTGAAATCCAAGATTCCATAAAAATCCCCATATCTGGTGGGGGGGAGGAAAAACGGGAACGCTTCGGCTTCAGGAATGCCAAGTTTTGGGTTTAAATTCAACAATTCTCGGCCTTTTGTTCCTGCAGGAGACAACAAAGAGGAAAACATTCCCAAGCAGCTGCCACATTCCCATTTTTTAGTGGGTTTTTTTTTTGGGAATTTTCTATGCAAGAATTTCAGGTTTCAAAGTCCAGCCCACCCCTTGGGCTGGAATTGGAGTTCGGAAATTTTCTCTCCCAAGCAACTTGGCAGCGCGGGAAATGTCGGGATTTGGGGCACGGGAGGAGTGAGGGGCTGGAATTTTTTATTTATTTGGGAGTTTTATTTATTTTTGGGGTTTGGGGAGCAGAAATGGCAATTCCCATCCAGCTGTGTCCATGGAAAAAGGGGATTTGGGGAATCTTGGGAGCCTGGGGATGGTAAAATTGTGGAATCACAGAATTCCCGACTGGGATGGAGCTTAAAATCATCTCATTCCAGCCTCTGCCGTGGACTGGAACAATTCCCATTATCCCGGCTTGCTCCAAGCAGGCCTTGGACATTCCAGGGGTGTGGAAAAGGGGCTGGAAGGATCCCAGCGCTGTTTGCCAGGAGCTGGAGCTGGCGGAGAGGGGAGGGAGGGATGAACATTCCCTTTTCCAGCATGGAAAATCCGATGGGGGACGCGGGAGCTGGCGCCGGGAACATAAACAAACCCCGTCTCTCCTGGAATTCCTGCCGCAATCCCGGGCTGCTTTTTCCCGGGAAGGGGCAGCTCTGAGCCGGAGCCAGGTGTGGGGCAGCCAAAAAAAACGGGATTTGGGAGCTCCACGGGAAAATTTGGGATCCCTCCTGGGGGTGATTCCCAAATCTGGGGGTTCCCAGTTTGGCTGAGCGCTGCTGGGTTTCCTCGGGAAAGAGGCTGGAAAATCCAGCATGGATTTCTTCCTGGCGCTGGGAAAGCTGGGAGTGCTCCGGGATTTTCCAGAAGGAGCAGGAACTGCTTGGAAAGGCCAGGGAAGCGTCTCCATCCATCAGCACTGGGTATTCCCGGAATTCCCTGCTCGGGAGTTGTGATCCATGGAGCTCCTGGGGTTACTGGGAAGCACTGGGAGTGGAGATTTGCTCCAGGATTGCCTTCAGGAATGATGATCCCAGTATTCCATCTAGGAATGGCAATTCCAGCACTGGGAATGAGGATTTGCTCCAGGATTCCCACTGGGAATGGAAATTCCAGCACTGGGAATGGGGATTTGCTCCAGGATTCCCGCTGGGAATGGCAATTCCAGCACTGGGAATGGGGATTTGCTCCAGGATTCCCACTGGGAATGGAAATTCCAGCACTGGGAATGGGGATTTGCTCCAGGATTCCCTCTGGGAATGGCAATTGCAGCCCTGGTAATGGGGTCTTGATCCAGAATTCCCTGTGGGAATGGCAACTCCAGCACTGGGAATGGGGTTTTGCTCCAATATTCCCTCCAGGAATGGTGGTTCCAGCACTGGGAGCGAGATCTCACTCCAATATTCCCTCTGGGAATGGCAATTCCAATATTTCCTCCAGGAATGGCAATTCCAGCAGTGGAAAAGGGTTTTGCTCCATGATTCCCTCCAGGAATTTTGATTCCAGAACTGGGGGCAGGATCTCACTCCAAGAATTCCTGCAGGAATTCCAGCACTGGAATGGGGTTTTGATCCAGAATTCCCTCTGGTAATGGTGGTTCCAGCACTGGGAATGGGTTTTGCTCAAATATTCCCTCTGGGAATGGCAATTCCAGCATTCCCTCCTGGAATGGTGATTCCAGCACTGGGAGCAGGGTCTTCCTCCAAGAATTCCTGCAGGAATTCCAGCACTGGAATGGGAATTTGCTCCAGGATTCCCTCTGGGAATGGCAATTCCAGCACTGGGAATGGGGTTTTGATCCAGAATTCCCACTGGGAATGACAATTCCATCACTGGGAATGGGGATTTTCTCCAGGATTCCCTCTGGGAATGGTGGTTCCAGCACTGGGAGCGAGATCTCACTCCAATATTCCCTCTGGGAATGGCAATTCCAATATTTCCTCCAGGAATGGCAATTCTGGCACTGGAAAAGGGTTTTGCTCCATGATTCCCTCCAGGAATTTTGATTCCAGCACTGGGGGCAGGATCTCACTCCAAGAATTCCTGCAGGAATTCCAGCACTGGGAATGGAGTCTTGATCCAGGATTCCCTCCAGGAATGGCAATTCTAGTGCTGGGAGCAGGATCTCACTCCAAGAATTCCTGCAGGATTTGCTCCAATATTCCCTCTGGGAATGGAAATTCCAATATTCCCTCCAGGAATGGCAATTCCAGCACTGGAATGGGTTTTTGATCCAGAATTCCCTCTGGTAATGGTGGTTCCTGCACTGGAAAAGGGTTTTGTTCAAATATTCCCTCCAGGAATCACAATTCCAATATTCCCTCCAGGAATGGCCATTCCAGCACTGGAAGAGGGTTTTGCTCCATGATTCCCTCCAGGAATGGCAATTCCAATATTCCCTCCAAGAATGGTGATTCCAGCACTGGGAGCAGGGTCTTCCTCCAAGAATTCCTGCAGGAATTCCAGCACTGGAATGGGAATTTGCTCCAGGATTCCCCGTGGGAATGGCAATTCCAGTACTGGGAATGGGGTTTTGATCCAGAATTCCCACTGGGAATGGCAATTCCAGCACTGGGAATGGGGATTTTCTCCAGGATTCCCTCTGGGAATGGTGGTTCCAGCACTGGGAATGGGTTTTGCTCCAATATTCCCTCTGGGAATGGCCATTCCAGCATTCCCTCCTGGAATGGCGATTCCAGCACCGCTCCATGCCAGGGTTTGGAGTCACTCCCATCCCCTCTCCGCTCAGATTCCCAAAATCTCCCCAATTCCACCCAAACCCCAGCCCCTGGCGCTTCCTCCACCACATTCCCAGCATATTAATTCCAGGAGAGGAGAATTCCCGTGCTTTGTGTGGAAGTGGAAAATGCCGGGATGTAAAACCCCGGCTGCCAGGACGGATAATTAACTCTGGAGATAATTCCCTCTTCATTTGGACTCAATTGCTTTCCTGATAGGAGAAAGTGCTGAAAACACAATTTTTTTTTAAATTTTTTTTTTTTTGGGATGTGACATAAAATAATAATGGGAAAAAAAAAATCCACTCAAGCTTTTCCTGGGAGAGCTTTTCCTTCCTGGGATAAAGGAGAGGATAAATCCCAGTTAATGCTCCAGAATTCCAGCTTGGCATCACCCTCCCGTCCTTGGAATGTTGGCTTTGGGGACAAAAAGAGCATTCCGGGGGTTTTTGGGATGGCTCAGCTGGAGTGGGAATGTCACAGGGTTTGCTCCGAGGAGGAATTCCTGGGAAATGAGGTTTTTGTGGGATGATTTGGAATTTTGGAAGCGTTTAAAGGAATATTTTGTGTCCCTGGGGGTCATCTTGTGGTTCCTGCACCAAAACTCCCACAAATCCTCAAATCCCATTAAGAATTTCCGGTATTTCCCAGCTGGAATCTCCACATTCCCAGCAATTCCAAGGGGAACAAAAAGCCATTTATCCTATTTGGAGAGCAAAGCATTTCCTGGAATATTCCGCATGAATTCCCAAGCTTTTTCCTCCTGGCCATGTCTGGATTTTGTGATGGGAATTTTGGCTCCTTTGAGGAATTTTTTCCTCTCCAGGTGTTTTTATTCCATCTCTCTGTGCCCGGGGCTGTAAATCCCAGCTGGGCCCTTCCAAAGGAAATATTCCAAGAGTTTTTTTTTTTTTTTTTTTTTTTTTTGCATCCAGGTTTCTGGAGCGGTTAAAAAGTCCCCGCGCTCCTCGGAGGAAATGCCAAGCAGTGGGAGCAGGGAGGAAAAAAATAGATGGAAAAGGGTTGCAGGGAGGGTTTTAAAAATAGCGGATCTTTGGAGGAGAAATCTGGGAAGATGTCAGGAGGGAGCCTCAAACATGAGGGGGAAAGAATTTTCTGGAAAATTGGGATTCGTTCATTGCTGGATTGGGGCTGTCTTGGTGTTCTGGGGTTTTTCTCCTGAAAATCCAAGGAAAAGGGAGGGAAATGCGGGAGAGGGATGGGAGGATTTGCAGCTGTTTGGGATGGGAGCGGGAATGTCGCTGGTTTTTCATCCAGGGGATCCAGGAGAGCTGGAAAAGGGATGGGAAGACACAGGGAATGACTTCCCACTGCCAGAGAGAAGGGTTAGATGGGATTTGGGGAAGGAATTCCTGGCTGGGAGGGTGGGGAGGGGCTGGGATGGAATTCCCAGAGGAGCTGGGGCTGCCCCTGGATCCCTGGAAGTGCCCAAGGCCAGGTTGGGATAATCTGGGATATTGGGAAGTGTCGGAGCTGGGACTGGCTGATCCCTAAAATCCCTTCCAACCCAAATGCATTCCAGGATTCCATGGTATTCTCTCCCAAAAACTTTGCCAGAGAGACCAAAACTTCCAGTGGAGGAGGCTTCAATCCCAGTAAATTCCAGTAAAATGCCTGCCTGGAGGCTCCTTGGTGGGAAAAAAGAAAACTCCAGCAGGATAATGACAGCCACGGAAGCTCTCCTATTTAACCTCTGGCCTCAGGAGGAA